ACTGTGAAGAGGAAAAGTAGCTCTGACAGCATAACAATTGAGGAAATGACTTTAAAAACAATGTGCCTTATGAGAACGTACGAAAAGTGTATCCGTATAGCAAAATGAGAAAAATATCAGGGAGCATGAGTTTTAAAAATAAACAGCAAAATTCCTCTATCCATCAACTCTGTAACCTAACTTATTATAGAATGACAGAATAATCAGAAAAGTCAGGCAGTAATTGGTAATTTTTTTTTCTTTCTTTTTGGCCAGTAGCTTTTTAAACTTTGCTGTCTCTATGAATTCAAGAAGACTCTTTTACTAAACCCATAATTCTCACATTGAGGTAGAGGTGGAGGCGGGGATGGAGGGATTGAACAAAAAGAAAAAGAGAAAAACTCATGGACACAGACAATAGCGTGGTGACTGCACGAGGAGGGGGGATGGGGGGATAAATGGTGATGGAGGAGGCCTGCCTGGGGGTGAGGAACATAATATACAGTGTAGAGATGATGTGTTGTAGAATTGTGCACCTGAAAGCTGTAGAATTTTGTTAACCGGTGCGTCACCCCCAATAAATTCAATAAAAAGGAAAAAATAAAATAAAAATATAAAGTACTGCCAATCTTATTTCTCTTGTATAAAATAATTACAGTAGAACTATATAAAATGTATTAAAAACTACATTCCTCATAAAGTTACAGAGTTGCAATTTAATTGGATAATTCCATTTGTAAGTATATACCCAAGAGAATGGAAAATACATGTTTGCATAAAAGCCTGTACATGAATGTGTCATAGTAGCACTATTCACAACAGCCAAAAAGTGAAAACTACCCAATGTCTCTAAACAGATGAATGAACAAAAAGTGGTATATCCATACAAGGGAATATTATTCAGCCATAAAAAGATATGAAGTACTAATACATTCTACAATGTGGGTGGAACCTTTAAAATATACTAAGTGAATAAAGCCAGACACAATAGATCACATATGATTCAATTTACATGAAATGTCCAAAATATGCAAATCTACAGAATCAGAATCTCTAGGGATTGAGAAAGGGAAGACTAGGGAGTGATTCCTAATGGGTAGGGAGTTTCTTCTGGGGTGATGACTATGTTTTGAAACTAGTTAATGGTGGTGGTTGCGCAACCTTGTGAATATACTAAACCCCACTGAATTTTTTTTTACTTTGAAAAGTGAGTAATATGGCAGGTGAATTATGTATCTTAATTTAATAACAATAAAACTGAAATCTAGCTGAGGGAAATTCCAAAGAGGACTTCTTAAAAAGCTGAAGTCAGTACCCATATACACTCTCCCATAGTGACTACTTTGTTAAAAGGACAACTCACTTTCAGATACAGAGGTTCTACCTAATACACTGAAATTATCATGACTGTTGGAAAACATCAAATTCTACCTCATCTACTCACTTGCTAAATAAAATTTTGATCTTGGCATTGTTCATGTAATCCTTATACCTTACAGCAACTACTTTTAAGACTGAAGAAAACTCAGAAAAACAGTTGGCCACAATCCTGGCAACCATCAAAATCAGATCCAAAGGCTAAAATATGGAATTATTTTCATCTTTTTTCAAGGTTTCAAGTTAAATTAAGCTTAAATAAACATCCCACAGTTTTATAAGAATTACTTTACAACTCAATAATCAGATATCAGAATTAACATGGCATAGACCATGCTGCCATCTTTTAAAGAGGTGGTTTTAGTAAACTGTGGCTTAGTATGCAGGAACTTTGTTGCATTTCAATTATGAGTACAGAGTGAATAAAGAAATTGTGTGTACAGACACACACACACACACACACACACACACACCCCCCCCCCCCCCCCCCCCTTAAGCAGAAAAAGCATTAGAAGGACAAAGAGTACCAGAAGATAGACTGGTTTTGAATGCACCTATCTTGTCAAGAAAATTTAACCAGTGTTGTAACGGAAAGGACTAGACAGCGAGTGTTGGTGCTGGTCCTAGTTCTGCCATTAACTAGTGGAGTAACCTTAGCAATGTCAGATGGCACTCTGCAGGCCTGTTTTCTCATCTGTAAAATGAAAGAACAGGGCTCCAAGGTTACTAAGTCTTACAACTCTCAACAGGCTTTGATTCCATCATAAAGTAGCTTAGGGCTGTGGGAGACCTAGCAATGACACACCAGGCAGCTCTGCTATTTTTGTGGACTTAGGCATCCATACCATACGTAGTAAGAGAATTACTAACCACACGGAAGGAGGAACAAGAAAAGTGCACATAGCTCCTGCTGGTTCTGGTTTACTCCTGTTGGACCTAATAAAGAGAAAATACCTTGGCCGACTTTCCAGGGGATAGGAATGGTTCCCTTGTCTTACCACACCCATAGTTGGTTTTTCCTAAAAGAAATCCAATGGGGACTATACAAAAATGCTGTTAAGTACCAAGTACTTTTAGTCACTGCATGACTAACAGGACAGATCAATTTTATATTAAAGAAGTAAAACAGCTTTCTCTTTCTAATACAGAGATAAACAGCTTTCATTCCACAGCCAAATAGCCCTAGATGACCAGTGAGTTTCACAGATACTTAGCAAGAAACAGTATCAATCCAAAGAAAATGGATTATCTTCAGAACTAGAAGGTTCAAAACACTAAGTTTCAACATAACATTATTATTCAACATAACCTTTTGAATAAAGGTTACAATTCCAACTTCTAGAGTAAAAAGCAGTATTAAAAACTCCCTGCGACTCATAACTTCTTTCATAGCAAGAGATAATCAGACCCGTGACAACAGAAGTTACCAACATACGTTCTGGTTTGTGGAAGCCAAAGATCAAATGAGGCCAACTCAGAAGTTGTTTCAGGTGGCTTCCAAGATGGCCTTCCAGAGGAGCTCCTCCAAAACAACAGGACAGTCCTACAGAACCTGTCTCCCCTGATTTCCACACAACACACACACGTTAAAAATGTCTGTCAAATATGGCTGCAGATGCCTGGCAGCACTCCTTTCAGGAGGGTACAGGGCTGAGGTTCCTACCCTGCTACCCATGCGTGGGCCTCTAGACGGTACATGGACGGACGTCACGGGGTCAGCGAAGTCCCTGAATGAGCCTTTGGGCACTCAAAGATTCTCAGAGGCTGTGAACCAAGGAAAGTTACGAACCACTAGTTTACAGCCCTATATAAAACAGAAGAAATCTACTGGTGGTGCCCATATGAATAAGACAGGAAGTAATGCCTGTTACTTGAGGTGCAAAATAACAAAGCACCACTTCAAAACAAAACAAAAGAAAAAAATACGATCTGATGGTCAGAGGTCCCGTAAGAGAGGAAATCGAGCTGAGGGACTTGCCCAAAACCACAGATCACAGGGCTAGTTAAGTTGCAAAGCTGACCACCAAACTAGGCGAGGTTTCTGCCAGGATGGAATGTTTCTACTTTTTTCTGAATGACTTTGACCAAAATTTCACAAATCTTTCTTAAAAGCCAGCACACAGCAGATTTACAAGGGGGAACTTAGTGGCTCATTATCCCCTATCCTGTTGCACTATTGACTGCAATTTGAAAACACAGCACAGGTTACAAACTCGTTGAGTGAAGTGCTTCTAAATGTAATGGAAAAAGACAGCCACTGATGGTCCTTTCAATACCCAGTCAGGGTCAAACTGACTTCAGACTTGTAGATTTCAGTCTGCAAGCTCCCCAACCTTCTAAGGAGTCTGTGTCTGTCTTTCTCTTTTAAAGTTAGCATCAAGAGTGTTGCCTAAACATTAAATGACTTTTTCAACCCAGGTAACGGGGTCATTCATAAATTAAACTGGGAACAACCTTTCCAGTTCCATGTCCACAAACATTACATGTAGTAGAGGCAGTGATAATAGGCAGTTATTCTGGGATCAAATTAAGTAGTAATTATTGTCATAAAAAGTTACAGTACCATTTGTTCCACTGCCAACTTTGTTCCAGCATATGAAATTCAAACTAATCAAAAACTCAATCTCACCTGAGAAGTGAAACCAAAGTGACATTTGAATCCAAGTTCAATGACATCACGTCCTTCAACTTCGAAGTGCTTTATTATGAGATTTAATGGCATACGATTCTATGGCGTTTATATTGTCTCTAAAGACGTACATTATGGTGAAGTTTGTAAATTATACTTAGCCCCTTCAGCAACCTTTCATCTTAAAGTCTCCCGCCCCCAAAAGCGCAACTGGCATAGGCCCTGGGAAGCACCTGTGGCCTGGAGGTCTTTGACCAACTCTCAAGGCTTTCTTGGCTGCAGTCTAGAAGGAGGTTTGACCATTCTATTTCGGGTCAAGGAGACTCCTCCACCCCAGGTGACCTCAAGTGGGCAAGGTCAGTTTAGGATAATGCACTGCGAGAGTTCTTCCAGCAGGCCCGGGGCCCCCACTGTGAGGCTCAGGAAGGAGAAGGATGAAGATCTGGTCACCATCGCGGCGGCGAAAGAATGCCGCTGCGCTGTCTGGCGCTTGCGACAGCCTGTCTGCTGGGGATCCCGCCGCCCCTGGCCGGGCTGTGGCGTCAGGAGCATGCGAAGAAGCAGGGATCCCCCGGACACGCCGCGGGAGGGAGGAGGAAGAGAACGAGAGCGAGTTAGGAGCCTGCAGGTGTCGCGGGGCGGGGAGGCGGGGGTTGGGGTGGAGGGGGAAGGGGAAGGAACGAGGTCGTCCGCGGCTGGCACTGCCGAGCGACGAAGAGCGCGGCTCTGAACTCGAACCGGTCGCATCCTCGGGCAGAGTGACCTTGAGCACGTGGCTTGAACGCTCTGCGCCTCAGTTTCCTCATCTCCAAAATGGGGGTTGGTCAAGCGAAAAACGAACCTCGGAGCGCTTGGCACGGCGCCTGGGCCATAGTAAGAGCTCCCTACATGTGCGCTACTATTGGCTCTCGGGCTCCTCTCGCTGCCCAAAAAAAAAAGGGGGAAGCCCCGAGCAGGGGAGTCCCGAAGAGGCGGATCCCGGGCTGGGGTGGGAGACCCGGGCCAGGGTACTCACCAAGTACGTCCGCTGAACGGTGCCGGGCCACGAAGCACGCGTCGTCCCCGTAGCACGCACCCTTCTTGAGGAGGCCCTTACGGAAGTCCTTGCCAAAGCCGCAACCGGCCGTCACTAGCCCGTAGTCGCCGCCACCGGCGCCGCCGCCGCCTCCGGCCCTGGGGTCGGTCTGCGAGAGGCCGCCGAGCACGGCGCGGGCCACCAGCCGCCCGTACGAGAGGACAGAGAACATCGCCGCCGCCGCCCCCCCGAGGAGGCGGGGGGCACGGGGAGCAGGAGGACGCGGAGGCCCGGAGCCGGCTCTCTCCTCAGCCGCAGCAGCGCCGCCGCTGGGGCGCTCCTCAAGGCGGCGCGCAATCGCTGCCGCCGCCCGTGCCCGACGCGCAGGGCCTCGCACACGCGCCGCCGCGCGCACCGGAGCCAGAGCGAGGTCAAAGCCGCTGGCACCTCCGCCTCAGCCCGAGTGGGGTCCCGGCTGCAGCCACCGCTGCCGCCGCCATCTTCCGCTCCACTAGCGTGTTCCGGGCCGCGCCGGGAGCACCGCCCCCTCCGTGGTCACGCCCCGACCCCGCCCACTATTCGCGGCTTATGCCTAAGCCCCGCCCCCTAGGCTCGGTGCCCTATGGAGTCACCAAGGTCGAGTGTGCGCAGAGGGTGTGGACGCAAAGTCTCCTGGGAGTTGTAGTCCTCGCTGCCCAGCACTCAGGACTTCAGAGGATTCCCCAGACGCTGGACTGAAGTTACTGAGAATTAAAGTGGGCTATTTGAAAAATTTTCCCCGTTTTAACCATATCCTTTAAAAACTCTCGTTTCAAGTAACGCCACCATTTCTTTAAAGAAAAGCCTGAAAGAAGTTAGGATCAGGTCAGGCAATATTATTCGGCAGTATATGTATTAAGAAACAGAAGTACACAAATCTAGTGACACCTCCAGGATTTGTATATGCTGGAAAGGTTTAATGGCGGCAATCGGGAAAGAGCTCTTTTGCATAGTATTTAGGAAAATTCAAGAAGTTGTTACATGTCCCTATCAGAGTGCGGGGATGGTGAATGGGGTGGGTAGCGATGGAGATTCAGGCACGGTCACTGCAGATATGTCATATAGAGGTGTTTCAGACTTTGTAGATGGTTCTGACAAACTGAGAATAAGGAATTCCAGGCCGCAAATTTCTTTGCCCCAAATCTTAATTTTCTGAGGCTCCACCTGCAGATCTCCCAACCTCTGGCTTAGGTGCTCAGAGAAGTCATGCAGTACCAACGTCTTGCAAAGATGATGCCTTTTCTTCTCCCCTTCCACAGCGGCCAGCTCTTCTTGTCAAAAGACAGCACTTGGCAAGAAAGATAGTTCCCCTACATGTTTTTTAAAGCTCTCAGCCCACCCCTAACAAACACATCATAGTAGCCTTTTCAAGATCTTTTACTGTTATTTTAAGCAAACTTTTCATGAAATCATTAAGTTGCGTAATAAATTCAATGGGGAGTTTGTAATCTAATGGGGAGATTAGCTCACCAAATATGTGTAACATGTTTGTATGTGTGTATAAATGTACATTCATATCACATACCATGCATGGTGGTGCTGTACATAATCTAGCATTTGCATACCTCTCCCCATTTGGTGCCATGTCCCCTTCACTACCAGCTCTAGTCATGTTCACAACTTCCTTGGGGCCTTTATTCTTGCTCTTCCTTCTACCCACTAGAATGTAATTCCATTATCTGGACATTTGGGCACACAGTAAATACACAGTTAAATGAATGAAAGAATGAATGACTATTTCACAAGATCCTAAGCTTCCCAAGGGCAAGGATCATTTGTGATTGTATGATTAGAATCTAATGCAATCCCTCGCATGCAGTAGGGGAATTCATAAATGTTTGTTGAATAAAGGAAGGAATAATTGAATAGGAACCACAAATAATATAAAAATGTTGAATAAAGAAATGATTGAATGGGGTTCACAAATAAAAGAAAGTTGAGATTTGAGGCAAGTGATCCAATTTGGAATAATTTTTGGCTTTATTGAAGCTTAAATATATATATCACCCAGAAGCTTTGGTTCCTTTCCAGGTCACTTTTGACAGAGCCGTAGTTACTTCTGGGATTCCCATCTCATTCTTTAAATTATTCTTTTATTATACCTTTCTTAATACACTCAACCATTCACTCAAAGCACATTATTCTTTTATCCTAATTACTGTCATCATTAAATACATTTGCAGTTTACAATGTGCCAAGTACTCTATATGTTTCTTTCCTTAAAGGTTTTCATCAAAATTGGATGAATAAATCATTTCACGTAGTGAATGGCATTTTGTCAAACATGTAGACTGAAAAAAGTTCATTTACTGGCTAAATGATTCCAAGCATGTAATCACACCTTGCTACTTCTTGTGGCCCACAAGCATTGGAGAGGGCCCAGGAGAGGGGGGGGGAGCCTTGTGGATCCTCTACTTGGCATTTATGTCTATGCCAGCGGTGCTAAAGGTTGTTCTTTCAGGTACACACACCACTATCAAATCCCAGCTAGGCTGTCAGGTAATTCTACCCCAAGGACAAACTTTTTGAAATAGTGTGTCAACCTCTACTCCTTGCCTTGTCAGACTCCTTCAAACTGTCCCTGCCTTTCATTTTTCAGAATATATATTATTAATTTCTGTGTTACTCCCAAGAACCGGTTGGATGAGGTGAGCAGGAATGCAAGATGTGACTCTGAAGCTGGTAACCTCTGCTCTGATGGCGCTGCTGTTTTAACTGTTAAGTGATATGGTGCCTTGAGTTTCTTGCAAATGAGTTTCCTGCAAATGAGTTGCTCACTGAAGCACAATGTGAACAAAATCCTTTCTCAAAGCTCTGTTGCACTTTTTGGAAAGGAGAGGAGACAGGGCCTCAGGTTCCCTTGAATCATTTATTCCAGAGCTAGCTTTGAAAAGTTCCACTATCATGGGGAAGCCAGGAGAGGGTATTTTGAAAAAATCATCTTTCCCTGTCCTCTCCCAGGAGCACCATTCACTCTTGACATTTTACTAGACTTAAAAGGCCCGATGAGTTTTCTTCCTTAACAGAGTTACATTCTTAACACTTCAAGGATTCCTGGGAGGTCAGTTGTCACTCTCAGTGGCAAAGAAGTGGTGAAAATACCATCTGTGCTCCCAGGGCACCTCTATGGCATTAGGAAAGATCTTTGCACTGGAGTTACCCACAGCTCCTAAAAAAAGAAAGAAAAAAAAAAAGGCATGAATTCCCTAGTGAGATGTTCTGCCAGACTGGCACACTGAACTCTTCTGATTTCTACTTGCTAACCTATTCAAAAGGAGAACTAATTCGTTTATGGCAAGGTTTCTCAACCTTGGTATTACTGACATTTGGGGCCAGATAATTCTTTGTTTGGGGGCGGGGCAGGGTTGTCCTGTGCACTGGAAGGGGCTCAGCGGCGCCCTCTGGCCTCTACCCACTAGATGCCAGTAGCATGCCTCACCTCCTAGCTGGGACAACCAAAAATGTCTCAGATACTGCCAGAAGTCCTCTAGGGGACAAAACCATGCCCTGTTAGAACCATTGGGTTATACGAATTCCATGCAAGTGAACAGATATTTGGCAGAGCACTTGTTATGTCCAAGGCTTTTGGCTGAGGACAGAAAGGCAGTTGGTGCCTTCACGGCCATCACAGTGTGGTAGGAAGGTTAACATTAAGTAAATATATGAGAATGTAAGCACCATGGATTGAAATAAAGGAGTGTGGGGAAGAGAATGGGACCTATTGGGGCCAAAGAACACACGGCACCTCATAAAGAGGTGACAGTTGTGAGAGACCTGAATGGACAGACAGAGGTCTGAGAAGGGGGTATAACAATTCCAAGAGGAAGGAATGGAAACTCAATGAGTGCAGAGTGTTTGGAAAAGAGCAAGTAGCCTAGCGCAGCTCAGCCTAGCGCAGATCATAATTAGGAATAATGAGAAATGGGCCTAGGAAAATAGTTTAGGAACTATTAGTCCATGAAAAGGAATGAAGTACTGATATATGCCTCGATATCGATGAACCCTGAAAACATCATGCTAAATCAAATAGTGCCAAGACCACATAGTGTATGAAACTATTTATATTACATATCCAGAATAGGCAAACCCATAGAGACAGAAAGAAGATTAGTGGTTGCCAGGGCCTGGGGGGAAGGGAAATGGGATGTGACCACTAATGGGTGTGGGGTTTCCTTTGGGGGTGGTGACAATGTTCTGGAATTAAATGGTGACGGTTGCACAACCTTATAATTATACTAAAAAACACTGAACTGCACACTTTAAAAGGATGAATGCTGTGGTATGTGAATTACATCTCACAAAGCAGTTTAGGACCTGTTGCAGAGGGCCTTATATGCTAAGCTGAGGATATTTAATGCTGGAGACAACAAGGGGGGTCACCAAAAGCTTTTAATATGCTAGTAATAATCATAAAATAAATATTATAAAGTATAATGAAACAATTAAAAATAAAAAAGTGATACTGAGAATAGTAATGAGAATGATAGATACCACAGATTGAGTCCTTAGCACATGCTTTGCTTTACCTTATCTGCTCTGACCACCTTGTTTAAACACACGACCACCCAATAGTCTCACCTGCATTTTTCTTCATAGCACACTGAACTCATTTGTTTTGTTTATTGTTTGGCTTCTCCCTAACTAAAATGTAAGTTCCGTAAGTAGTTATTCGCTACTTTATATTGAGTGTCCAGAAAGTGGCCTGGTAAATAATAAGTGCTAAACAAACACCTATTAAGGGAATACTGTTAAATAAAAGAACCTTAGAGATCACACAGAACAAGCATCTTATTTTCCAGTTGAAGAAAGGTGGTGAGTAACGTGTCCCTCTCATAGGAAGTTAATGGGTGGAGCAGGCTGAACTGGAGAGGTAGTTAGATACTCTTGGTGACTGCCCTGAAAATCCTGTCCGAAGGAACTAGCCATAAACTTCTTTCCACTGAACTTTCATGTTTTGTATCATGTGTGGTGGTCATGTTTTTCCCACCTAGAATCCATTTCCCCTGTTCTCTGATAATAATATTTTAATTTTCCTTGGAGGAATGAATAATCCAGCATCCCCTTGGTTCATGCAGATTGGGTGGAACTGGACCAGAAGTGGAGAGACGACCCAGGTCTGACCAATCAGAGCACGGCATTCCCTTCGTCACAGTGACTGGCCCAGAGAGAAGGCACATGACCCACGCTGGGCCAATGAATTCCACTATGGATTTTGCTGAAAATATTGGGGAGAAATTCTCATTAGGGTTTGTAAGATGGTAGAATGCAAGCTTAGAGCCACTTACGGCCATCTTTGCCTCTACTTGGAAAGAGCCAGCCTGAGAGCGAAGACAATACAGAGAGAAACAGAGCATAGAGATGGTAAGAACCAGAGGCCTGGTGACATCGATCGAACCCCTGCTTTCAGTTTTATCTGAAGAGGATTAGTCCCTGAACTCTTATTAACTCCCTGTTTTGCTTGAGTTGCTCTGAGTTTGGCTTACAATTCAGCAGA